TTTTAGTACTGTTATACAAGGCACTGGTGAGACCTCACCTGGAATACTGGTGCAGTTCTGGTCTCCCATGTTTAAGAAGGATGAATTCAAACTGGAACAGGTACAGAGAAGGGCTACTAGGATGATCTGAGGAATGGAAAACTTGTCTTATGAAAGGCGACTCAAGGAGCTTGGCTTGTTTAGCCTAACTAAAAGAAGGTTGAGGGGAGATATGATTGCTCTCTATAAATATATCAGAGGGATAAATACCAGAGAGGGAGAGGAATTATTTAAGCTCAGTACCAATGTGGACACAAGAACAAACGGATATAAACTGGCCACCAGGAAATTTAGACTAGAAATTAGATGAAGGTTTCTAACCATCAGAAGAGTGAAGTTTTGGAATAGCCTTCCAAGGGAAGCAGTGGGGGCAAAAGATCTATCTGGCTTTAAGATTAAACTCGATAAGTTTATGGAGGAGATGGTATGACGGGATAATGTGGTTTTGGTAACTAAATATTCATGGATAGGCCCAATGGCCTGTGATGGGATATTAGATGGGGTGGGATCTGAGTTACCCAAGAAAGAATTTTCTGTAGTATCTAGCTGGTGAATCTTGCTCATATGCTCAGGGTTTAGCTGATCACCATATTTGGGGTCGGGAAGGAATTTTCCTCCAGGGCAGATTGGAAGAGGCCCTGGAGGTTTTTCGCCTTCCTCTGTAGCATGGGGCACAGGTCACTTGCTGGAGAATTCTCTGCTTCTTGAAGCCTTTAAACCATGATTTGAGGACTTCAATAGCACAGACATAGGTGAGAGGCTTTTTGCAGGAGTGGTGGGTGAAATTCTGTGGCCTGCGTTGTGCAGGAGGTCAGACTAGATGATCATAATGGTCCCTTCTGACCTAAATATCTATGAATCTATTTATGCCTGCAACTGCAGTAAATTCTCCCAAATAAATGAAAAAAGAAAAGGAGTACTTGTGGCACCTTAGAGACTAACCAATTTATTTGAGCATGAGCTTTCGTGAGCTACAGCTCACTTCATCGGATAGCTTCATCATAGCTCACGAAAGCTCATGCTCAAATAAATTGGTTAGTCTCTGAGGTGCCACAAGTACTCCTTTTCTTTTTGCGAATACAGACTAACACGGCTGTTACTCTGAAACCAAATAAATGAGACATTTAAATGCACACAAAGTGGGTTTTGAAAATCTGCCCATTTATGACACAAACTTTTTTTATCATTCCTTCCCATCCATTCCTTTGCAAATCAATCTGAATACAGAATTATTTTTGTTACATTAGTATCAGGGTAGATAATCAACGTTTTTAAAAAAAATCAGATTTGTAAATTTAATTTAAATATAATTTTCCTTTAAAAATTTTGTATGAAATTATGATAATCTATGTCAAAGGCCAAAACTTACTATGATCTATTAAATCATTTAAATTAACTAAAATAATTATACTAAGCAGTACATAAGAGTGGCCATACTAGGCAAGACCAACGGTCCATCTAGCCCAGTATCCTGTCTTCCATCAGTGGCCAACGCCAGGTGCTTCAGAGGGAATGAACAAAACAGGGCAGTTATTGAGTCATCCAGCTCATGTCATCCAGTCCCAGCTACTGGCAGTCAGAGGTTTAGAGACACCTGAACTACGGGGTTGTGTCCCTAATGATCTTGGCTAATAGCCATGAATGGACCTATCCTCCATGAACTTATCTAATTCTTTTTTGAACTCAGTTCTATTTTTGGCCTTCACAACATCCCCTGGCAACCAGTTCCACAGGTTGACTGAGCATTGTGTGAAGAAATACTTCCTTTTGTTTGTTTAAAACCTGCTGCCTATTAATTTCATTGGGTGGCTGCTGGTTATGTTGTTATGTGAAGGGGCAAATAACACTTCCCTACTCACTTTCTCCACACCATTCATGATTTTATAGGACTCTATCATATCCCCCCTAAGTCATCTCTTTTCTATAGAAGAACATAAGAACGGCCCTATTGGGTCAGACCAAAGGTCCATTTAGCCCTGTATCCTGTCTACTGACAGTGGCCAATGCCAGGTACCCCAGAGGGAATGAACAGAACAGGCAATCACCAAGTGATTCATCCCCCGCCACCCACAGGAAACAGAGGCAAGGGATACCATCCCTGCCTATCTTGGCTAATAGCCATTGATGGACCTATTCTAAGCTAAACCGTCGCAGTCTTTTTGATCTCTCCTCATATGGAAGATGTGCCATCCCCCTCATCATTTTAACTGCCCTTCTCTGTAATGTTTTCTAATTCTAAAACATCTTTTTCTGAGATGGAGGGGACCAGAATAGCTGCAGTATTCAAGGCTGGGCATACCATGGAGTTATATACTGGCATTATAATATTTATTGTCTTATTATCTGTCCCTTTCCTAATGATTCCCAACATTCTGCTAGCTTTTTTGACTGCCGCTGCATACTAAATAGATATTTTCAGAGAAGTATCCATGACTCCAAAATCTCTTTCTTGAGTGGTAAAAACTAATTTAGATCCATCATTTTGTACGCACAGTTGGGATTATTTTTTCCAGTGTGCATTACTTTGCATTTATCAACACTGAATTTCATCTGCCATTTTGTTGCCCAGTCACCCAGTTTTGTGAGATCCTTTTTTAACTCGTCAGTCAACTTTTGTCTTAATGATCTCAAGTAATTTTATATCGTCTGCAAACTTTGACACCTCACAGTTCACCCCCTTTTCCAGATCACTTATGAATATGTCAAACAGCACTGGCCCTAGCATAGATCCTTTGGGGACCTCTCTAATGACCTCTCTCCACTGGGAAGCTGACCATTTATTCCTACCCTTTATTTCCTATCTTTTAATCAGTTTCTGATCCAGGAGAGGGCGTACCCTCTTATCCCGTGACTGCTTACTTTGCTTAAGAGCCTTTAGTGAGGGACCTTGTCAAAGGCTTTCTGAATGTCCAAGTACACTATATCCACTGGATCACCTTTCTCCACATGCTTGTTGACTGCCCTCAAAGAATTCTGATGGATTGGTGAGGCATGATTCCCCTCTACAACAGCCATGTTGACTTTTCCCCAACACACTGTGTTCATCTATGTGTCCGATCATTCTGTTCTTTGCAATAGTTTCAACCAAATTTTTATGATATTGAAGTTAGGCTTACTGGCTTGTAATTGCCAGGTTTGCCTCTGGAGCCCTTTTTTAAATATTGGCATCACATTAGCTATCCTCCAGTCATCTGGTACAGAGGCTGATTTAAGTGATAGGTTACATACCCCAGTTAGTAGTTCTGCAATTTCATATTTGAGTTTGTTCAGAACTCTTGGGTGAATAACATTTGGTCCTGGTGACCTATTACTGTTTTATCAATTTGTTGTAAAACCTCCTTTATTGACACCTCAGTCCCTCAGTTCTGTCACCTAAAAAGAATGGCTCAGGTATAGGAATCTGCCTCACATCCTCTGAAGTGAAGACTGATGCAAACAACTTGTTTAGCTTCTCCACAACAGCCTTGTTTGCTGCCACAGTTTTAAAGAAAGTCAAACCATTGAACTGGTAGAAGTCACTGGTTAAACACCTGTAACCAGTTTGTTGAAGTGCTAACCCAGCTATGACTGCCTTTTGCAGGTAAATCGAGAATATTTTTTTTAAATTTCAGTTTATTCATCTAGTTCAGTGATTATATTTCATTCAAAGTTAAGAAATTGATTGGGTTTGGAAAACACAGGAAAGCTTGTTTTCCTCTTCTAATCTATGAATAAAAATTAGGTGTGAGGATGAGATCTACTAGTTCTAAAGACTGAAGGACATGGGGACCTGAAACAATCAGTTCAATTCACTAACTACAGATGATACTTCCTTTGTTTAATAAATCAGTTGGTTTAATGTATTCAGCAAATTTTAAAATGCTCTTTGTGCACTTTAATTGAATTACAATTTCCAGCCAAAGAGAGCTTGACACAAATCATGAGTAAAATCTAATAAATAAGAAATACACCATTCACCATTTTCTAACATAATATAAATGTAAAAATTAAGAATGTGAATAAACACATATTAAGCTACATAACTGCTTTCATAAATACATATAAATATAGTGTATCATGGTTAGTAAAAAGCAGTACCAAATTTAGCATCAAGGCTATATTTAGTTGGAAAAATCAACTTTATTAACGGGTACCAATCAATGAGAATCAAACTTTCTTTAGGAAAATAACTGAAAAATACAAATGCAAAACAAGACTAAAATTGATTATTTAAATCAAGATTCTCTTGCTGATTTAAATCACTTAGATTTAATCACATAGAGTTCAATCAATCAATCCTAATAAGTACCGCATATAAAATCACTGTACTTTCTATTACCATAAATAATGTAAACAATTGACTGAGCTTTGACCTTCCCAGTCACTTAAATACCAGGATTATCCTAGGTACCATGGTGAGTTCTTTATGCGTATCACCTGGCAAGTTTCCCATGGATAAGAGCCTTCATCACACTGCCTCACCAGTTGTACCTTGGCAGCACACAATCAGCTAACAGCACTCACAGCTGCTGCAGGCTCCAAGACAGGAACTGAGCCTGAGACCAGAACTCTGTGCTGTGAGGTTTAGGCTAGTGGGTTGGTCGCATATTTTCACTTTTAATGGTGATCTGCAAAAATCTTTTTAAAACCATCTCTATAATATCCCAAAACTAAAGCACTCCCAGATTTCAAGCACAAATTAATTCCCTCTCCCTCTAGACTAAACTGACCAGCAGCAAACTTATTTTCCCACATTAAGGCACCCGATACTACTAAAAAGGCCTCTTCAAATGTAGACACCTGAGAGATGCATTCCAACCAGGCCTTTAGCAGTTAGGCAATACATTATGCAGACAGGTTAAGTATTTACACACACACACACGCACATGTCATTAAAAGAATAAGCCCATGATTAACAGCAAGCGGAGCACATGATTGCAGCATTCCTCCATTGGCTTTCATCAAACACTATCAGTTTATACCTTGGTTGAATGACTGAACTGGCTGCTTCTCCCTTGGCTGTTAGACCTTGATCCAGACCCAGGCCTGGAGCCTGAACAAGGCTGGGATCCTGAACTCCCACTGCTGCTGTGATCCCACTCTTCCTAGAAACAACAAACAACGCGCTTTAGTCAAGTGCAACTTAATTCCTATCCTAATGAAAAATGCCAGTCGAATACACTAGAGGGTCGGTGTAGTCTAAATCTCGCAGGCATAGCATTCGGAGACAAGAATTTGTGGCTCTGCCACAAGTTTACTCTGTTGCCTTAGGTAAGTCACTTAATATCTTTGGACCAAATTCTGCCTTTATTTATACACTGTGCAACCCAACCAACTACAATGGGGCTGCGTGATGTTTGAATCCAGGCAGGGTTTGGCCCTTCATACCTCAGTTTCCCCATCGATAAAACCAGGACAATGCTGCTTACATTCCTTATTGTCTTGAGGACTAATTAATGTTTATTCAGCAACATGATGTACTGCTTCAGTGCGAAGTTTCGTTAATTGCCAAAGAAAAAAATATAAACTCATGTAGCGTATTTTCTTCTTTCTCTGTTTATTTCTTAGGCAGTCAGACATCAGCTGTCCACACACCTTGAAAATATCTAGGCTCCGCCCTCCCACTATACTGAATAACTGTCGCCATTTTTGTCTGTGAAACAATTGTTCCAAGTGTGCTGTCTTTATCCTCGTTACACTTGCTATTATGTCAAAGAATCGGCAGGTTTCTGGGACTCTTGGGGGCAAGAGGCATCATATTCTAGTTTGCTAAACTGATTTGACCAGACATATTTACTCAAACAAGCCTGGAGGGGGATTTTTTTTCCAGGTGGTGGGAGAAGGGAAAAATATCTTTGGCAAGCTTGCGTCTTACAAGGCTTCGAAAGGTTTGCTTTGAAAAGCCCTTTGAAGTGGGAAAATATGCAAAAAAGATTATGTAGTGCAGAATGCTGACCTCCATTAAGGATTTTTAGAAATTGGAAAACAAAACGAGGCATTTGTATTAGAAAAAAGATGTAAGAGCTAACATGTTAAAGAGGGCTTTTGACATCTCACAAGTACTAACTGGGGCTTCTCAAGTCTTAGGTCACTGACATCCTATCATGAATTAAGAGACAGGACAGTCACCTTTACCATTAAGAGCCAGCTGGACACACTACCAGAGTGTGATGTACACTGCTGCTTATACACCAGGGTACAGGTTCCAGTCATTAACCTTAGGAAGTCAGCCCTGCTTGATACAGTTTTTAATATGGCACAACTATATCAATTAGGAGGGTGATTTTTTAGCAATATAGTTATACCACCACAACCTCCAGTATGGATGCTGTCATACTGGAATGCAGGTGTCTTACACTAGTCTAGCTCGTTTCCCTTCTTATACCGGAATAAGCAAATTTATACAAGTGTGCCCACACTAAATGACTATAGTTAAATGCATACAACTTTGGCGTGTAGACAAGTCCTTGGTTTCCGAGCCTATTCTAACAAGGCCTTCATAGTCTGTGCCTGGAGAATATGTTTGTTCTTTATTCATTAAGTAAATGGTACTTTGCTTAAATGCTAGTACAGTTTAGACTTGATTGCTTATGCTCGGAAAGAAGTGCTGACTGCCCACCCTGAGAGAGGCAGAAGGCTCAACCCTCAGAGGAGAAAATCAAACAAGCAAGATGAACCGGCACTGAAGTCATAAGGAGATGGGTTAGGAGGAGCTGTGGTCTCTGCCCAGAGATGTTTCACCTATGACAGATGGGGATCTGTGCTGACATGGAGCGAGCCCTCTGACTTTCAAACACATTTAACCCCTTAGGTAACTAGATTCTTCCCATAAAAAGAAAAGGAGTACTTGTGGCACCTTAGTATGTGTACGTCACCTGGGACTTAGCTAATTTCTGTGGTTTGGAAGAAGGCCATTGGAAATGCTGCTGAGAAATAGTGAGGATGACACAAGGCACAGTCAGGTAGCCAAGCTAGGATGGAATAAAGACATTTATGGAGCCAACTACTGGGCTACAGCAAGGTGGCAGCTGTGTGAAGTGGTTAGGGAGTATGAGGCATGCAGACATCTACAGAACTGAGAAGAATCTCGTCAGTGGGAGGGTAAGCAAAAAAAGAGGCTGTGAGTAGAGCAGCGTGAATTTTTTCTACCAAAACTCAGCCCCTTCCCCCCTCCCCCAAAAACGCAGATTTGGCTCAACCAAAACGTTATGTGAATTTGTGTCTATTTCAGCAAACTGTTTCTGTAAAAAACAACCCTCCCCCCCAAAAAAAACCCAACAGAAAAACACCCTGAAACAAACAATTCTGAAAAAAAAAATCAAAGCATTTCAGTTTGACATTTCCTATATTAAACGTTGTGACTTTGTTTCAAAATTACCTTTAGATGTTCTTTAAAAAAAATTTTTTTAAAGGAGAAAAACCTTGAAATGGAAACAAAATGTTTCATTTGACCCAAAAGAAATCCCCCCCCCATTTTTTGGACTTGCCAACAAACTGAACAATCCATTATTCACAGAGCTCTTGCTGTGATAAGAATTATGGACTTCACATCTATGTTCTAAGGACTATATTCTAGGGATGGCATTAGGGGGGCTGTGTTGTGAGCTGGTGGGGTGAATATACGAGTGCTGGGACCATTTGTTTGACTGGTGTTGGTTGCAGGGACAGTCTGACCATAGGTTTGTTTGTTTGAAAAGTGCGAATTGGGAGTGCTTTGTTCCAGGTGGGTCTTGAGTGGTTGATTGGAGGGAAGGCTTTGAGCTGGGGCAACTGCTTCGAGCCAGTAGCCTTATAAAAAAGGCAGCCAGTTGCCAACCGAGTGAGCAGCTAACAGAGCAGAGGCAAACAGAGGGAGTTTGCCTGGGAGGAGATCCCACAGAGTTTTTTACCTTTCAGGCTTCTGTGAGCAGTAAATACAACACCTGAAGGGGCTCTTAGAAAGAAGACAATATGGATAGTGAGCAATCAGCTGTTGTAACCTGCACAGGATGAGCTATGTTTGTCTTTCTCCCAGAGGATAGAAACGACTCTGTCTGTATGAACTGCAAGCTGTTCTCCATATTGGAAGAGATGTTTAAAGGACTAGAGACCCAATTATCAACCCTGCTTTGCATCAGAGAAGATGAAGACTTTCTGGATAGAAGCCAGCAATTGGTACTGCAGGCACAGGATGCTGAAAAACCAGAGAGGGCAGTGCAGAATGGGGAAGAAAATTGGCAGAATGTGACCTCCAGAGGAAGAAAGAGGAGAACCCATGTATCCCCAATGCAGACAGAGGTAAGAAACCATTTTCAGGCTCTCTGCACAGGTACTATGGTGAAGAATGGTTTGGAAGAGTCATCTGAGAAAAGGGACCAGAAGGAAACCCCACTGACCAGAAGGCACAGGATGCATTGTCCTAGGGATGGGGGTTCCATGACCACCACTCCCAAGAGGAGGAGATGGGTGGTGGTGGTGGGGGGCTCCCTCCTAAGGGGGACAGAGTCATCCATCTGCCGTCCAGATCGGGAAACTCGAGAAGTGTGCTGCTTGCCTGGAGCTAGAATTCAGGATGTGACAGAGTGTCTGCCGAGACTGATCAAGCCCTCGGACCACTACCTCTTCCTACTTCTCCATGTGGGCACCAATGATACTGCCAAGAATGACGCTGAGTGCGTCACTGCAGGGAAGAAGGATAAAGGAGTTTGAGGTGCAAGTTGTGTTCTCGTCTATCCTCCCCAGATAGGGACCATCAAATTGTGGAGGTAAATGCGTGGTTGCACAGGTGGTGTTGGAGAGGGGGCTTTGGATCCTTCGACCATGGGATATCGTTCCAGGAAGAAGAATTGCTAGGAAGAGACGGGATCCACCTAACGAAGAGAGGGAAGAGCATCTTCACAGGCAGACTTGCTAACCTAGTGAGGAGGGCTTTAAACTAGGTTCGCTGGGGGAAGGAGACCTAAGCCCTGAGGTAAGTGGGATACCAAGAGGAAACACAAGGAGGAGGGTGCAACAGGGAAGGCCTCCTGATTCATGCTGAGAAAGTAGGGCAATCGGCTAGGTATCTTAGATGCCTGTGCACAAATGCAAGAAGCTTGGGAAACAAGCAGGAAGAATTGGAAGTCCTGGCAATGACAAGGAATTGTGATGTGATTGGAATAACAGAGACTTGGTGGGGTAACTCACATGACTGGAGCACTGTCATGGATGGGTATAAACTGTTCAGAAAGGACAGGCGGGGGAGAAAAGGTGGAGGAGTTGCACTGTATGTAAGAGAGCAGTATGATTGCTCAGGCCTCCAGTATGAAACTGGAGAAAAGCCTGTTGAGAGTCTTTGGGTTAAGTTTAGAGGTGAGAGCAACAAGGGTGATGTCGTGGTGGGTGTCTGCTATAGACCACCAGACCAGGAGGATGAGGTAGATGAGGCTTTCTTCAGACAACTAACAGAAGTTTCCAGATCACAGGCCCTGGTTCTCATAGGGGACTTCAATCACCCTGACATCTGTTGGGAGAGCAATACAGCAGTGCACAGACAATCCAGGAAGTTTTTGGAGAGTGTTGGGGACAACTTCCTGGTGCAAGTGCTGGAGGAACCAACTAGGGGCCGTGTTCCTCTTGACCTGCTGTTCACAAACAGGGAAGAATTGGTAGGGGAAATAGAAGTGGGTGGCAACCTGGGCAGCAGTGACCATGAGATGGTCGAGTTCAGGATCCTGACAAAAGGAAGAAAAGAGAGCAGCAGAATACGGACCCTGGACTTCAGAAAAGCAGACTTTGACTCCCTCAGGGAGTCAGAATCCCCTGGGAGGCTAATATGAAGGGGAAAGGAGTCCAGGAGAGCAGGCTGTATTTTAAAGAAGCCTTATTGAGGGCATAGGAACAAGCCATCCCAATGTGTAGGAAGAATAACAAATATGGCAGGCGACCAGCTTGGCTTAACAGAGAAATCTTCAGTGAGCTTAAACACAAAAAGGAAACGTGGACAGATGACCAGGGAGGAATATAAAAATATTGCTTGAGCAGGCAGGGGTGTAATCAGGAAAGCCAAAGCACAATTGGAGTTGCAGCTAGCAAGGGATGTGAAGGGTCACAAGAAGGGTTTCTACAGGTATGTTAGCAAAAAAAG